TCAAATTTATTTCCTTCTAATACAAGAAAGAGCAAAACCACTTTAAAACTATCTATACTAATTTTTAATGCAGCTTTAGAGATGCAGCACACTAAACATATAGTTTATATGCCCATTAGGACTGTATCTCTGCAACATCTTTTTAAAAAGATACTTTTTCCCCCTTTAATAAAAAAGGTACACAGTTCTTCATCAAAAGATGAAAACAGTTTCGTTATTTGCTCGGGCCTGGTGCACTGGGAAGACCCAGAGGGATGGGGTGGAAAGGGAGGTGGGAGGGGGGACCAGGATGGGGAATACATGTAAATCCATGGCTAATTCATTTCAATGTATGACAAAAACTACTGTAATGATGTAAAGTAATTAGCCTCCAACTAATAAAAATAAATAGGAAAAAAAAAAAAGATGAAAACAAATACTTTAAAAAATATCCTTTATTTTTAACAAATGGCATTTTTATGTCATAAAATTTTTCTCTTCCTGGTGGTCTTTAAGAAGAAATCTAAGTTCATTTAAAACTTCAGTTCATTTAAAAATCAGGTATAAGTCTGATATAGTACAGCTAATACATCAGTTTTGAACTGATTCCTAACAATATTTTTTTAAGTATTTTTAAAAATATCCTGCAATCATCTTTAAGTAGCAAAGCATTCTGACCAAATTAAAACTGTCTAGGGAATTCCCTGGAGGCCTAGTGATTAGGACTCCCAGCTTCTACTGTAAGGGGTACAAGTTCAATCTCTCATCAGGGAACCAAGATCCTGCATCTTTTGCGGCATGGCCAAAAAAAACAGAACAAACAAGCAAACAAAACCCCTCCAAAACTAGTTGAAAAGGTAAAGGATGGCCACTGCTAGACAAATGAGAGGCTGCAGAAAGATGTCTTCATAATGTGTAAACAGGTCTCCCATGTGAGGAGAAGGTAATATACCAAAAGGAGCCCTTCAAAAGAGAAGCAGTACTCAGGCACTTACTCCAGGTCTGATAAACAGCTACTACTGACAACTACCAAAAGTCTGGCATCAATAATGCTATGTACTAGAAATGTCAAGGTTCAGAGAAAGTGAGAGGTAGCATCTGCAGCAAAGGGAAGAGGCTAGTTTAAGCTCTTGCCAATCCCTCTCTAATCCTGACTATGCATATCTGGATCGTATTATTGCCCTGCTCTCAGTTCACGTGATTTTCTCTTGTCCGTGAGACCAAATCTCAACTCCTTCCCATTCTGATTCTGATCTACACATCCAGCCTCCTCTCAGTCTGCTCCCTCTTTACTGCCACCAGACCCTCCCACCACCTTTCCTTTCACTGCACGGTACGTAACCCTGCTGCCGCTGCTGTTAAGTCGCATCAGTCGTGTCCAACTCTGTGCGACCCCATAGACAGCAGCCCACCAGGCTCCTCCGTCCCTGGGATTCCCCAGCCAAGAATACTGGAGTGGGTTGCCATTTCCTTCTCCAGTGGTACAGAACTCTAGTAAAGCAATTATTTTTCTTGGACAGTAATGATTATTCTCCATATCATATCACCTTAGAAAATACAGCAGGCTACCAGACGACAAAAAACATTTCTATGATCTTTGTAATCCCAGCACCTAACAGAATGCATGACACCTAATAAATACCCAATAAATATTTCTTTAATGAATGAATGAGTGTTCTTCAGTGAAATGGCCTACACCAGAGACCAGAAGAAAGAACTTAAATTCTTGTTTTTAAAAGTAAGAATATAAAACAGTTACCCTGATTTAACAAAATGCAGTTTGACACAAATGCTTAAAATATAAAAATTGAAACTGCGTGAGAAGTTTAGTTGTCTCAAGTTTTGCATCCTCAAATAGTAATCACAACGATCACTCTCCCCTGTGAAAATAAGGTCTAGATGTTAATTATAAACCAACATCTCTTAGCCATCAGGTATATAAACTGCTTTTAAACCCTTCTGCAATATTTTTTTAAAAGGTATACAGAAAGGGTTTACCTGTCTTTAAGAAGAAATTGATAATTCCTTGTGAACTGTAAACTTTCTATTTAGAAACAACTAGACTCTTCTTGGATTAAATTCCTGGTTTTGTTCTTCAGTTGATGATATTTGCATATAAAAACAATATCTTTGTTTCTTAGGAGATCATCTGCTTCTGAAATGAGATGTATTTATCTTCTACAGAAATAATTTCCCCTAATTGTGATACAACTAATTTTGTTATTCTAAATATGGGATATCATCATCCATGGCAAATGTATAGCAGGGGCAATTGGAACTCCAGAGAAACAAAGATTGTGTTTTTCATGACATTCACAAAAACAATCCTGTTGTAGAAAATGTGACCTTGTATTTGAATAAACAAGAAACATTATTCTAAACTTTTACCAAATTCAGCTACAAAAATGGAAAATTTTAAACTCCAAATTTTATAACAGAAAAAAAAATGTTACTTTTGGCAGACCTTGTTAAAATAATATTTGGAAATTTACTGTAAAAAATACTGCTAATATTTCAATTACTAGCATTTATTTACAAAAACTTAAAATTCTTGAAATGCAATTTTAATCTCTAATTGAAAAGAGCTATTGTAGTAATAAACTGGCATTAGTTATTATACATATAAGGAATGCTAGTATCATTCTGAATATATTCCCATTTTCTAATTCTTTTGATTACTTTTCCTGTTGAGCATTTACAAAGCATCTATTTTAAAAATGGCAATTACTTACATCTATAGTGGCCTTGAAACAGTGATTTTGTTTTTTTCGGCTACCATGTTATGCAATTTAAAAAGTAAAAATAGGCTTTATAAGATGAATCTCATTAGAATCCTGTTTCTGTCTCTACCACCTCCTACCTGTGTACAGACTACATTAAAAAATCCTGATCCTCAGTTCCCTTACCTTTAAAAAGAACAGGTCTGCAATCTCAAAAGATTATTCCAAATTTGCAATGTACATATATAGCATGTGGCACATAATACATGTTCAATAAATAGTTATCATCATCCATCAAACATAAATGCCTCCCACCTTTGCTCTAGTCACACTAACCTTGTTGGAGTTTGAGGGAAGAACTGAATTTGTGCCTCACAGGTTTTATACTAGCTGCTTCCTGTGTTTGGAAAAGTCGTCCCCTGTATTTTTACAATAGTTGCCTCTTAGCATTCAAGTCCCTGGTTAAACATCACTTTCCCTGAACATCCTATCTGTAGAAGATTTTACTTTCCAAAGAGGGCTACAACAGTATCTCCCATCTCACATGTTTTTGCCATGGAGAGGTGGGATCTATGTCACTACCCTCTTAAATACATGCAGGCTCAGGAATGTTTCAGCATATGCAGAAATGATGTGCAATTCCTGAAATGAAGTCATAAAAGGGAATTCACAGAGAAATGTGTATAGCAGCATTATTGACCAAAACCTAAAAGCAATCCAAATGTCCATCAGCTGCTGAATGGATAGACAAAATGTATTATATTCATACAACATAATATTATTTTGGCCATAAAAAGGAATGAAGTACCAAAAACATGCTAAAGCACGGATGAACCTTGAAAATAAACTAAGTAAAAGAGGCCAGACACAAGAGGCCATGTATTGTATGATTCCATTTGTATGAAATGTTTAGAATAGACACACCTATAGTGACAAAGTAGATTAGTAGTTGTCAAGCAGGAGGGGAGGTTAGGCAGGAGCTAATATGTATGGAGTTTCTTTGTTGGAGTGATGAAAATATTCTGGAATTAGAGAGTGGTGATGGTTGCATTGCACAACTTGGAACATACTACAAACCACTACTATGCACTTCAGAAGGCTGAATTTTATGGTATATGATAATAAAGTTTAAAAAATATACTATGAAGAGAAATTTTTAAAAAATTAATAAAACATTTCTTCATGGCTTACTACGTTAAAAAAAAAAACAAATTGAAGCAGTTTCTAAACTATTCCCTAGGACATTTTAGAACCCAAAGCCAAAACAGTCTAGGCTACTCTGAAGCCACAAGGTTATGAGGAAGCCAGGCCATATGGGGAAGCTGAGGCTTTTGAGAGCCCTGTAAGGCACCAGGTGACAGCATCAACTGTCAGACACCTAAAGCAGGGAGTTTCCAGATTCCGGCCTCCAGCCACAGAGTCACCCACCGCTGTGCCCCATGTATCATAGAGCAGTCATTCCTGCTATCCTGACTCAGAACCTTCGATCACATGAAATGGTTAGGTTTTGCAGTGGTCTGTTTTGCAGTAATAGTAATGAGAACGCTACCTAACACAGCCACCACAACCTCCTTATCTAGCTTCTTTCCCTTCACGACACATATTTATTGCATGACATTATGCTATATATTTATTTTTATTCTGTCACCCTTCACCAGAAGTGAGTTCCCTGAGAGCAGAATCCTTTGTGTCTTGTTTCTATAACCACACACACAGAAGTTTATCCAATATATAGTATATGAATAATGTATATTTGTTGAACAAACAAATCAATCATCACTATGGAATTCTCAGCATGGGAGGGCACTGGTTGAAGCTTGTTTTGGTTTAGCATGATTTCCAAAATGTAGCCACTGTCATTTCATTAACTTTTCCAGTGAAATCTTTTCTAATAATTAAGTATGAAAACCCACAAAATTACAAATACAAATTATCATTGTTTCTTTGTTTCTAAGGAAAATCCAAAATGATTTATAAAACTTCTAACATTCTTGCTGAAGTCACTGAAATATTTAATTTTAATAAGTGAATAAAAATAAGCATAAAAAAAGAAAAAAAACACATATGGCCAACAAGTAAAAACTGACTTAATTTGATTGCAGTTACCAGTATTTTTGTGCTGATTTATGTATATTTTTGCCCTAGAATACCATGTTAAACAAGTGGGAGTAAAATAGATTTGATTCATGTTGAAATCCAGGTCAAAGTAGTAGACATTGCAGTTTTTTAAAAGCATAAATGGTTTACTTTGCAAAACATCAGTGTTATTTTTATTTTTCTGTAAATGGAAACATAGCCTACCTCTGGTGCCAGATACTCTGGTGTACCACAGAAAGTCTTCATGGTGGCTGCATCAGTGATCCCTTCTTTGCAAAGTCCAAAATCTGTGATTTTTATGTGGCCATCTTTATCCAGCATCAAATTCTCCAACTGCATAGTAAGACAATAGTCTTCAAAAATAGGAAAATACTGTTTTGAAAAATAACTGAATGCTGAGTAAGATATTCTGGAAAGAGGACATAATTAGTCAAAGAACTTTTGATACTTACAAACCCTATAGCTGCCTAATTCATGTGTAAAAAGAAATATTTTATCAAATACTTTACAATAATAAACTGATTTTTAAACCCGTGGGAGTAAGAGCCATTATTGTGTATAAGTCCTAAGAACTAAAGTCTAAATTAAGTTTTGAAAGCAAACATCAATCTTCTTTTTTCCTTTTTAAAATAAAGTTTGATCTAAACAATTTCAAAGAGACAAGTATCTTCTTCTAGATATGTAGAGATGGTTTTCAACAATTTCTCTTGGGAGTCTATTTCTATTATAAAATATTTATTTACAGAAATGTTTCTTTGGTGGTGGCTGTAAATCAAACCTAAATCTTATTTTGTAAGGTAAGGCAATATCTTTTCTTGCAGTTATTTGTAACAAAGAAATACCAATCCTTTTAAAGTTGGAACCTCTTTAAACCCATTCATACAAAAACAACAATCTTAAAAGAGATAACCAAATAGCCTCAAGTGAAAAATTAAGCAATGCAAGGGGGAAAAAGAGCTTGTGCAAAGCTAATGCAATTAAAAACAGTAACAATAACTGATCTTACTCTTTCAATCTGAACCTAAAGTTATGATTATCACCATACAGAGATACACATGAGTTCTGAGTTGTCACTTTATAGTCATGTATATCAATGGGGCCCCTAACCCTGCTCAGTCATGTACCTAAGGGAATACATAAGAAATGCATTCACAAAGAAACACATGTGAAAAAATTATATTAGCAGGATGAATGATAATTAACTTATTAGAGGAGTAGGTAACTATTCTACTCCTTAACATGATAATATATGAAAGTGCCTACTCAAACTCTGAAGTCAATATCAAATTCAAAACATAACTCCATATAAGAACATAAATAGATACCAATCTTATAAAATGTGATGATGTTATACTGTTATATATTATCCAGTGTCTTATAAACCAGAAACTAAATACAGTTAAGCAAGCTATGCTCAGTATAGTACTTAAATGTGCTGCCCAATTTAACTCAATGCTCAATACATGTTTCATACACTGCATAGACTTTAGAGAAGTGAGTCTGTTTTGACTTGTCTACAGAGAGCTGAATGAACCCTAAATACATTGTTAAACCTTTTAAAAATGAATATTCTCTTATTTTATCTAAATTTAGGTAGACTGATTCTCTACTAACTGGAACCCAAAAATCAAACCCAATGTGCACAAATGGCAATACGTCCTAAATAGTACAACTGAATAGAAATGTAAAAAAAGAATTTGTCTACTCCTCTTTCCTTTTCTTCTTCATGCTTTTGGTTTTCTCTCTTTTCCCTTTCTCTTGCAAACAACACTCTCTTCTTCCTCCTACTTCTATCTTGCCATAATGAGAAAGACAAGTATATAATGGAATGTCTGCTGTGTTAAATATACGCTCTGTTCCTAATTTTAAAAAATATGCTTATTGTTCTAACATAGAAATACATTACAATATAAAAACAAAACCTTAAAATGCTATAAAGATCTTTTATAGTACATAAGAATTCTTATGGAGACTTCAAATAATACATAATAATATTAAATAAAATATGTAGTTTAATGTATATCACAACAATTCACTTTATATGCACTGCAAAATAAAACTTTGCATGCACTAATGTGCTAACTGTCCACATTTTGACAAGACTATCTTGCAAAGCATAGATATAGAGTATGAGAATATATACTGTTTTTTAATAAAAAGAACATACATTTTAAAAAATCTTGATCCATATCTAATTATCTAATCTCATCTCCAAGATACCAAGGGTTGAGGGATGAGGAATGAAATGAGATTCAGGGGTAGGATTTGAGTGAAGAACAGGAATAGGATGAAAATGACCAAGAATTCTCAGTTTGCCTACAACTGAGGAGGTTTCCCAGGATGAAGGATCTTTAATAAAAGTTCTACAGCTGGGGAAGTTCCAGGCTAACCACGACAGCTAATCATTCCTTTGTTGTATTAATCAGCTTTGTTATAATGATACAGGAGAAATAAGGTCAGCTTACAGGAGGACTGTGAGAGATGGGGTAGAGGCCACGATAAAGGGGACAAGGTAGCATACTGTGGAGGAGGCAGTTGAGGGCAATGTGGGTGAGATTATGGAATCGAGTCAGAGCTTAAATGTAAATTCAAGTTCTACCCCTCACCCGCTGTGTAACCTTGAGTATGCTATTGATATCTATGCATCTCAACTTGATCTATAACACACAGGTAAATAACAGTAACAATCCAATGTGACTGTTCTGAGAATTAAATGATAGTGAATGGAGAACTTAATCAACAAATGTATTGATCATTTACTAAACATGGAGGGTTTAATGGCTGATTTATAATTTATCAACATGGTATGTGTTCTTCTAGACAACACCGTATGTTAAAGGAAAGAGCAAAATTCAGAAATGGAACCCTATAAAAATTTTTGATCAGCTCAGTAACCTCATTTAAAACAGTTTTTAATATGCAACAATTTCTTTTGAATAAAAACCAAAAAAAATTTTACAATTTTTGAGCCAGTTATTTTATAATGGTGTCCACTTTCTTCCATCAATTACTATTCTTCTCTCACTATCCTGAAATGTCATTTGGCTGAGCATGAAAGACAAAAACAACTTGTCTATCAGTATGAAAAAATAGAAATGCATCACCTTAAAAAAATGATATCCCCAAATCTAATCTTATAAAGAGGTAAATCGGGGGTAATTAAATATCCTGTCTGGTTAAAAACATAAATGAGTTTATGCAGATGCATAACAAAGATTTCATTAAATATGAGAACCATTAGTGCTGCGATTCACAAAGGTGAAGGATACACAGAATTACCTGGAAATCTTTCAAAAGCAGACCAATGACTTAAAGATATGAAAAAACACCTGGAAATCACTTCCTTAGCGCGCGTGACATTAACATAAGAAGATTCAGTCAAATTATTTTTAGGAATCTTTCCACTGTGTAAAGGAGGAATAAAAATGTTTATAAATGGTCTTTCTTTGGTTCTCTCTCCTAAATCGAATGCTTTCCTTCTTCCTTTTTTTTCAAACCATAAAAGGAATAATGTACACCATAACTGCCTGTTCAGGTACTCTCTATTATAAAACATTAAATGCATCTGTTTTCTCTCCACTATCAGTCTTAGCATCCGGGATTGAGGTCGGGGCAGGATTGATGATACTTAATGGATACATCCACTGGCAAAAGCAATGTATGAAGTTAAATAGGAAGTGTGAAAGAAAAGAGTATACATTCAAAATCTGGGTAATGCTTACTATTTGTATCAGAGGGTTGTTTGTTATCTAATAGTTCATACTTTGAGAAAACAAATATACTAAACATATATGTCCCAGAATTTCCATTTAAAAAAGGCAACATTTTTTATCGAGTTGAACTGGACAAAAATTATTTGACAGAGGATCTTGATTTGGTAGGTTTTGAAATTTTTTTCCCCCTGTGCTTCGTTAACAAGAAATGACAGCAAGAAAATACTACGCTCCTTTCTGCTCTTGCTGGTGCCTAGAATAAAATTAAACTCTTGCTATTATAAAGTTTACAAATTTTTAACTTCTAAGTTTTTAAAAGCTTTCTAATATACAATTCATATATCATATATTCTAATATCTAGCTATGTAAAATACACACACACACACACACACACACATATATATATATATATCTTTTAGGTCTCATTTTAATTATATGCTGACATTTTGTGATTAAGCAAAGGAATGATAGTAGCAGTTTCTAAGGGCTCTGACAACTATTGTAGCAACACAAACAAGTCCCAGCACTCACTCTTACAATCCCATTTTAGCACAGTTATATCAGTACCAAGACTGCCTCAGGCCCAAGAATACAGTAAGGAATTCCTCCCCTGCACCCTGCATATTTAGGTTTATGGGCATCAAAGTGCCAAATGTTGTGACCCGTATGAACTTAATGACCATGGGATTAGGACAGTGCATTAAAATGCCAAAAGGAAATCTTTGAACCTTCCTAAACTGGAAAAAGAATTCACAATATACAATAGCAGAGATCCTACCTAGACTTGGGTTTCAGAGTTACTACATTTAAGAATTTCCTACACTTGAGGAATATAGCCCAATAGTACATGTGAATGTTAGAAATGGAAGGGATTCATAGCAGCAATGGCTGAACATTTTTATAAAAGAGGAAATCCAGAGTAGTTAGAAGTGGGAGTTAGAGGATGTGCCTTGAATATACTTAAAACATTCCTTATTTTGGGCAGCTTTATTCAAATTTTAGATTTACAAAGATCCCCTAGAGTTAATCCAATGCATCCCCCCACCTAAAGTTCATTTCATTTCTAGACAGGCCGATTGGTATAATAAAAAGAACATCCTACCTGGAGCTAGGATTCATGGAATCCAACAATCTTGACTATGTTACCAATTTAGTCCATTATTTCAAGAAAATCACTTACTAGGTTTCAAGTCTTCAGTGACCTCAGCTGTAAATTATGGGTCAGCTCTGAATTTCTACAACTGTACCTAAAGATCTCATTCTATCATGAAACAATATGGATATAAATAACACTTGTACAAATTTTGAACGTTTGACTTATAATATCCATTCTTCTTTGTGTAAATTCCATGGATCCTGTCCAATGCTACACATTTACTTAGACCTTTAAGTTAAAGCTATATTACAACAGAAATAAATTTAGAGAGGAGAGGTCACTTAATTGTCTAGTAGTTGATGGTCTATTTACATACTAACTACATGACTGGTATTCACATTGCAGGCTAATAAATTTAGTCTAATTTCATCTCCAGAAAGGACAGAGCAACAAAACTCATTAAATGAGTGTCAACGTACTGATAAGTTGATTAATGAGAAACGATATCAGTATCAGTGGAGATACTGATCAAAATCATCCCAATTATATCATTCCTTTTCAATGCTATCAATCAAGTGAGCATTCTTTTCTTTGTTTCTTTAGACTAATTATTTGAGCTTTAAGCATTTTGGATATATTACTAAGTACTTCAAAACTGTTCTCCTTTTCTTAAATCCAGGAAGTCCTCCCCCTTATCCTTACAAATAGGATTCAGAAAATATAAAGTTGGGGGGGGGGGGAGATCAAGCAGAAAAGAGCTAACTACTTCTAAGTAAATATGAAAATGACATATAACATAAGTTTTTTCATACCATATAATTAAATTCTTTTTTAAAAATTCAGATTTAAGACATTTAAACATTATAGGATTATTTGGCCATGCAGACATCAGATACAGGGATGCTGAATTCTGCTACTCCTGGCTATAAAAGCTGCAGGCTAAGACAATCATACTGTTGATTTATATCCATCTCTGATCTATTTTGGCACTTAGTTGATCATCTCTGATATAGATATAGTATAAAAATGTTTTCTAAAAATAGAATTTCATAGCTTGTTTCATAAATAACATGTTAAGAAATAAAATGAGAAAATAATATAAAAACTGTAATGATGCTATACAGACATACACACTATATTTCACTGTCATCATGTAAAGTAATATTTTTTGAGATAGTTACTTCTTAGGGATCATTCATAATACAAAGGTACATGATAGCAACATCTTGAAATAACTTAGACAACTAGTTAAGTAATTAGATAATTTAAGAATCAGAGGTGCTTGAAAGCAAGTGAATGGGAGTGAGGGGTAACTGTGACTTCTCTCAGGTGCTGTAATATGTAGATATATACCTCATTACCTGGTGGTTCAGATGGTAAAAGAATCTGCCTGCAACGTGAGAGATCAGGGTTCGATCTCTGGGTTGCGAAGATCCCCTGGAGAAGGGAATGACTACACACTCCAGTATTCTTGCCTGGAGAATTCCATGGACAGAGGAGCCTGCAGACTACAGTCCACGAGGTCACACAGAGTTGGACATGACTGAGCAACTAACATGCATACCTCATTTCCCACAAACAGCATTTCATAAAAGACTAAAATAACTTCTATTTCTACAAGCAGAATTATACTTTAAATGAACTCATACTTGATAAACAAAGCAATTCTGTGTCAGACTTTAATAGGTCAAGATTATCATATGATTTACTTTTTAAGAAAGTAAGATGGTCACATTTAGAACCTGTTCAGAGTTGTGCCAGGGTACAAATTTCCTTAACGTGGCCAATCTAAATGAAAACAGTGTCGTGAGAATTACTACTGCCTTTTATGAGCTACTCCAAGGGTCAGCAAAATATGGCCTGGGGGCGAAATCTTGTCTACTGCCTGTTTTTGTAATTAAAGTTTTACTGGAACACAGCCAGACATGCTCATTTACATACTGCCCTTGGCTGCTTTCATCCTACAACAGCAGCACTGAGGAGTCGCAAAGATACAGTAAGAGCAGCAATGCCTAGAATATTTACTATCTGGGCTTCACAGAAAGTTTGCCAGTTCCGGAGCTATTCCGAGGGTCTTGTCAGAAAGAAACTTAAGAGACATACAGTCATTATTACTGATAAAACAAACACAGTGTTTTTTAAAAATGGAAACTAAATAAATTGATAAAAGGCTATATTAAAGTGCTTCAGCTCTTTAAGCCCACTAAATATTCAAAGTCAAAATCAAATATTTGATTTTAAAACCAAAACCTTCCCCTAAATAATCTTATCTACTATAAAAAGTTTCTTCATAATACATCACAGGATGCTAGAATATAATAATGAAGTTGATTTTAAAATGTCACTTGCAAAGAGACTAGACATTGAATCAGATGTTTAACATTACTCATTACACTAACAGAAGAGTGGAACTATTACTGGTAGATCGTTTTGATCAGAGCAGTCGAACAGAACTTATTTTGCATGTCAAAAACTTGGACATAAAAAGAACTACACATTTACCAGTGAATGAAACTTCCTGTCAGATACAGTGAACCACATTCTTAAAGTGTTGTTTTTTTTTTCCCCAACTAGATCTTCTTTTCTTCAAAGTGTGTAACTTTGTAATTACTTTGTGTTTGTCCCTATAGTCTCTGCAGAAACAAACTCTGATTACTTTTCTTTTTTACCTTGAGATCACGGTACACAATCTTTCCGGAATGTAGATAGTCCAAGGCAGAGACAATTTCTGCACCATAGAAACGTGTGCGGTCCTCGGAGAACACCCGCTCTCTCGACAAATGGAAAAACAGCTGCAGGGTAAACAGCAGGGACAGGACTGTAATAATTACTGATTTAGTGGGGGAAATTAACACAAACATAAAACACCTCTCATCACCATATTGTGATGATAGATAGTGTACTCTCAGTGGACACTGAGCACTCTTAGACAGCAGCTGGCTTATCTTTTCCAGGTTTCCAAGGGGAGACTGAGAGCTGTTAAATCAGCGCTTTAATCAATATACCAATCTTGTTTAAGGCATTCTGTTTGCTACCCATTTAACCTTCAGTTACCAGAGGAAAAAGTATGCATCATCAGATTACATCTCCTCCATATACTGTTGCTTCAACTCTTTCAAGGATTAGGTACTGAGACTTTATTAAAATAAATGAACATAAGCAGAGATGCAACATTTCTACTTAATTATCTGCTTCACACTTGATTTCAAAGAAAGGACTGCAGGTTTGTGGAATCTTATTTATATGAACTTGTTAAATTCTACAACTCTTGATTCATCATGATATCTTTTCCACAATGAGAAATTGGGAGGCTTTTACATTTTCAATTTATTTTAGTAATGCCCAAAAGGTACTGAGAAGCTCCCATTATTCCCTTAATAATTCTCAATGTATATTCTTCCTATTTTAACAATAATTACCTATGACACCATCTTTTCACATGTAATCACTTAAAACGATAAGCCCATCCATTTCCTGTCAATCACCTAAAAGGACACTTCCAACTCATCAGTCAACAAGTATTTACTGAGTGCTCATTGTGGTCAAGCATCCAGCTCTCCATTTAGACAAGCTGTTTGTTTAAGAAACTGCCTGTTTCATCTCTCAGTTCAACCATGTATATGAGAAAGGAGCCGGTTCTATGCACTATGAATTGATTACTGACCTTTTTGTTGTACTGTTTCACTGTATTAAGAAATCCATCATGAACAACCAAAGAGTGTTTGCAGTGCTGAGTACATTGCCAGTATCACAGTAGGTACTTAATACATGTCTTTGATTAAAAGTGATGAACCAGTCAGTGTATCCTTGATTGCAAGATCAGAAATGAACTATAACTTCACAGGGATTACTTCTACAAACTGCTTCTACAAATTTATAAGAATTATGGTTAACCAAGATTTCTTTCTCACGCACCAAATCATAATCTAGGTAACAGAAAGTAGGTTCCTTATAGATTCTGTCTTCCCTTTTCACGGGGAAGAAAATGGCAACCCACTCCAGTACTCTTGCCTGGAAAATCCCATGGACAGAGGATCCTGGTAGGCTACAGTCCATGGTGTCGCAAAGAGCTGGACACGACTGAGCGACTTCACTTTCTTTTCACTTTCCCCTTTCCCATTTCCAACTCCACTTAAGAGTCTATCACTAAGATAAAAATTAATGCATAACCCATTCTCCCAATAAAGAGAGGGACTTAACATCATGAAACTATTGCCAAAAAAGACTCGTTCAATGTTAATTACAGTAAAACTAAAGTATTTGGCAGACAGTCTCTAAACTTTAATGTTCTCTACTATACTGTCATATTTCATCAAGTCTAAGATGCTGCTGATTGTAACTTCACTAACATTTTATGTTAAGACCAAGAAAGAAAAAAAATGATGTGAATTAAAACTATAACACATCATCAAATATAAAAGGCCTTCCAACTGAAGAAATTATTCAGTGTCTTATAAATAACCAAATATACTATGCCCAAAATCATACCAATGTATAATTGGTATGTTTATAAGGGATATGCTTCAAAATTGATTCATCTTACATAGGCAAATACATGCTATTAACAGGGTTTCCCTGGTGGCTCAGATGATAATGAATCTGCCTGCAATGTGGAAGACCTGGATTTGATCCCTGGGTCAGGAAGATCCCCTGGAGAAGGGAATGGCTACCCACTCCAGTACTCTGGCCTGGAGAATTCCATGGCAAGAGGAGCCTGGCAGGCTACAGTCCATGGGGTCACAAAGAGTCAGACATGACTGAGCCCTAACACTTGCACTTTTCACTTCATGCTATTAATACACTACTATTCAAACAAAGACAGGAAGTAGAAAGAAGCATGGAGCATCTGAAATCCTTCTAGGGCAAAGTAATTTCTATCATCCTTTAATACAAGATATGACTAATTTTGATGAAGAAACCCCTGTGATCTCTATGGTGATTTATGGTAGTGTTCTAATGAGATTAAAATAGTGGTTAGATTTCTAAACTTTCTTCATATAATGTCAAGCCTAGTACCCACTCATCTTCTATACAAAATATATAGATCCTCCCTAAATCAACATAATATATGCAGGCTTCTAGATCTTTATTTAGATCATAAATCTTCAATTTGTCTCCCAGCCAATTTCTGTAAAAATATCAGCTAAAAAAAAAAAAAAAGAAACTACTTAAGGAGAAGAAACCTATTTATTTCCCAGTCTGCTGTCCTCGGATGTCCATCCTTGCTACTTTATGTACCTTACTCTTTTCCAGTAGTCATGTATGGATGTGAGAGTTGGACCATAAAGAAAGCTGAGTGCAGAAGAAGTGATGCTTTTGAACTGTGGTGTTGGAGAAGACTCTTGAGAGTCCCCTGGACTGCAAGGAGATCCAACCAGTCAATCCTAAAGGAAATCAGTCCTGAATATTCATTGGAAGGACTGATGCTGAAGCTGAAACGCTAATACTTTGGCCACCTGATGAGAAGAACTGACTCATTGGAAAAGACCCTGATGATAGGAAAGATTGAAGGCGGGAGAAGGGGACGACAGAGGATGAGATGGTTGGACGGCATCACCGACAATGACAGAACTTAAGCAAAAAAAAAAGATGAGGTCAGGCTGTTTAGGACCTGGACTTCCATGATGTGGTTTAGAGATTAACTCTGCAGATAAAGAATGTCAAAGATATTTGGGTCCAAAATTAGCCTAATTTTAAACAGACAACTCTGGCAGCAAGGAGAGAATCAATTTAAAATCTGAGGGACTTCCCTGGGGGCTCAGTGGTTAAGGCTGTGCACTCCCAATGCAGGGAGCCCAAGTTCATTCTCTGGTCAGGGAACTAGATCCCACATGTCACAACTAAAGACCCAAACACCGCAATTAAGACCCAGCACAGCCAAACAAACAAATAAATATTTTAAAAAGTAAAAAACAAACAAACAGAGACTAGAGTAGTCAGGTAAAACAATTCATAAAGTGCAGCAGAAGTTACTAAATGCCAATTCAGTGTTGTAAAAAGCTGCAGACACAATGGAGGGAATTGTATCATTCTGAAAGAATTTAACTATCTGGTTAGAAAAACCAGACATATATAATTACATTAAAAATACATAATTTTAAAATAGCACACTTTAAGAAGTAAGTAAGTATCTTTGGTAGTATAAGAAGCTACCTTTAAGCTGGTTAAGAGCTTCTGAGGAACCTTAACTACAGCAGTAGTACCAGATATTTCAAGAGAGTCAGTATCCCAAGGGGAACTAGCATGTGCCATTTGGGCAAGGGCAGAAAGAGTTCTGAGGTTTCCAGCAGTGTGTTGCGTTGTTGCCAGCAGTGTAAGGAAAGGAATGGGGCTGGGAACAGAGGAGCAACGGCTTTTATCTTGACCCATTGACATTTAAAAAAGAACTATAGCACAGTTCAGTACTATGGGACCAAATGGTACAGAGATAAATATGAGTCAGGATGCTGTTAACATCAAGGAAGCAAAATTGTTGTTCAGTCGCCAAGTCATGTCCAACTCTGTAACCCCATGGACTGTAGCATGCCAGGCCTCCCTGTTTCTCAGGCTCTCCTAGAGTTTGCCCAAGTTCATGTCCATTGAATTGGTGATGACAATCTGATGCTGGGAGGCAAGATATAGACCAGAAATTTAGTAGAAACTGAAACAGAATTAAGTCAGAATTTTAGGGTATCATGACAGGGATAAGGACAGGGAAAAGAGGCAGAACAGGATATTAAGATAAAGTCCTAAAAGAAATACAAAAGAAAAAAATATATGATACTTGAAGAATAAAGGATACAAAAGTTTCACCAAGAAAATTAACATTTATCAGACAAAAGAATTGGGTCATCTGTTATCTTTTAGGAAAGGGGTATCACACTTAGGTGGGCCAAGAAGAGAATATAAACTAGAAATGGTACATGACTCCTTTAGAAAAAAATGAATGAGATGAGCCAAGGTGTTACTGAAACATTTTTTCTCAATACATAAATGCTTTCAAGAAAACTTTTGCCTGAAGAAATGACAGATGCTATAAAGCTACAATTCATATGGAACAGGCCCATATCTGGAGAAAAACATGATCCGAAAGGATACACGCACCCCAATGTTCGCTGCGGCACTGCTGACAACAGCCAAGACAGGGAAGCAACTTAAACGTCCACTGACAGAGGAGTGATAAGGAAGACGTGCATATACAAAACGGAGCACAGCGCAGCCGCTGCAAAGAATGGAGTAATGCCATCTGTGGCAACGTGGACAGACTGAGACAGTGTCATACTAAGGAAGTCAGTCAGCCAGTGACGAACAAGCACTGTATGACACCCCATATATGCGGAATCTAAAAGGAAATGGTACAAATGAATTTACTTACAAAACAGAAAGACTCACAACCTTAGAAAATGAAGTTTAGATTGCTGGGGGGAAGGGATAGTTAGGAACTTTGGGAAGGTCAAGTACACACTGCTATATTTAAAATGGATAACCAACAAGGACCTACTGTATAGCACATGGAACTCTGTTCAAGGTTATGTGCCTGCCTGGATGGGAGCAGGGTTTGGGGGGAGAATGGGTACACGTATATGTGTGGCTGAGTCCCTCTGCTATTCACCCGAACTATCACAACATTGTTTATGGGCTCTACCCCAATATAAATAAGACATTAAGGTTTGGGGAAAAAAAAGAAATATTGATGATATAATAGGTTACTTTATAAAATAGGTTACTTTATAAAAAGTTAAAATATGGCGAAGTTGATAATTATATATGATAAAGTATACGGGGAAAATGACCATTTAAAAAATGGTGCCAC